TAGTACTGGAAGTCCTAACCACAGCGATCAGATAAGAAGAAATAAAAGACATCCAAATTAGATGTAAAGGAGGAAGTAAAACTGTTATTATTCGCAGATGACATAATATTGTACATAGAAAATCCTAAAGACTCCACCAAAAAAGTACCAGATTTAGTTAAGGAATTCAGCAATGTAGCATGATACAAAATTAACACCCAGAAATCGATGGCATTTTTATACACCAATAATGAATTCTCAGAAAAAGAAACTAAGCAAACAATCCCATTTACCAATGTAATAAAAAAATTAAGATACTTAGAAATAAACTTAACCAAGGAGGTAAAAGACTTGTACTTGGAAAACTACAGGACGTTGAAAAAAGAGATAGAGGAAGACATAAACAAATGGAAGAATATACCGTGTTCGTGGACCGGTAGAATTAACATCATTAAAATGTCCATACTACCCAAGGCAATCTACAGATTCAGTGCAATCCCTATTAAAATACCAACAGCATATTTCAGAGATCTAGAATACTCCAAAAATTTATATGGAACCAAAAAAGACCCCTAATAGACGCAGCAATCTTGAGAAAGAACAAAGTTGGAGGGATCACAATACCAGATATCAAGTTACACTACAAAGCCACTGATACTGGCACAAGACCAGTCATATAAATCAATGGAAAAGAACAGAGACCCCAGAAATTGACCCAAGCCATTATGCTCAATTAATATTTGACAAAGGAGGCAAGAACATACAATGGAGTCAAGAGAGTCTCTTCAATAAATGGGGTTGGAAAAACTGGACAGATACATGCCAAAAAAAGAAAGAAACTAGACCACCAACTTAACACCATACACAAGAATAAACTGAAAATGGATAAAAGACTTAAATGAACACTGTGAAACCATAAAAATCCTAGAAGAAACCATAGGCAGCAAAATCTCCAATATCTCTTGTAGCAATATGTTTACAGATACATCTCCTACGGCAATGGAAACTAGGAGAAAATAAACAAATGGGACCACATCAAAATAAAAAGCTTCTGAACAACAAAATGAAAAGGGAGCCCACTGTATGGGAGAACATATTTGGCAATGATACATCTGATAAAGGTTTAATGTCCAAAATATATAAGGAACTCATACAACTTAACAAAAGGAAGACAAACAATCCGATTAAAAAATGGGCAGCCCTAGCTGGTTTGGCTCAGTGGATAGAGCATCAACCTGTGGACTGAAGGGTCCCAGGTTCGATTCTGGTCAAGGGCACATGCCTGGGCTGTGGGCTTGATCCCCAGTAGGGGGCGTGCATCATCTCATCATTGATGTTTCTAAATCTCTCTCCCTCTCCCTTCCTCTTTGAATCA